GTGTTCGTGAATGGCCACTCGAGCGGCCCAAGCGTGTCCAAAGGATGTTTGCCCACAAAACCGTCGCGCGGGTTAGTATGTACGATATAGTAAGGGTGATCGTCCAAGGTGGTCTTTTTCTAACCATTATTCTTCCTTCTTCACACATCCAATTATAATCTTAGGCAGAGCATCTGAGATATCTACTGATTTTATCTGAAATAAAAAAAAAACAATTGAACAGTACTACAAGTATTTTCTCAAGCTAATGGTATTTTTTAAAAAAATATAGATCGATTTAGAATAAATATTGGAAATTTTTTATTCGATTACTTTACTGTTGGCAACTATTTCCTTGCCAATCTAATTAAAATAATTTTCTACAAAGTAAGCGTAATAATATTGTAAAATAAATCCAAATAATAACTTCAGAAAATTAATAAAATAAAGAAAATGTTTATTAAAGAATGACAGCTATTAATTAATAAAAGAGAAGACGTCCAGTCAACTCAAGTCTCAGTCAAAAACTGGAGATAAACAAACTCTCCCCTCGTTGCTGTAAACATTCTAATTGTCAAGCAACGTCAACAACTTATAAAACTGTCGTTAGTCTAATAATCATTAGATGGCGACATACAATTTGTTGGATAATATTCAGAAATGTATCTAGATTCTCAAGAATAATCAATACAAAAGGTTTCACTTACCATGCAGATTATTTGTTTCCAACTTTTATTTTTCTTACGATTCATATTGAATAATCAAGTAGCAGCACTGCAAGCCAGACTTGACTTGAAATGAGCATAATTCTTGTATTTTAAACAATGTAATGTAAGACAACTTGTTTTTAATTACTTTAAAGAGCAATTAAAGGAATAAAAATGTTGATTGAAGATCCACTAGACTTGCGTGAAACGTATTTTACATTTTGTTGTTTACACTTTAAAGCTCATTATTTCTTAAGTACATTAAATTGATAAGAAAAGATGTTAATTTAAAATTAAACAACATTTTTATATTTATAAGAACTAACGGAATGAAAAATAACCGTAAAGTTGGACCGATATGCGACAAAACAGTTAAAGATTTAAGACTCATAAAATGGTGAATCGTGAAAAGTTGCACAACGCATGTCCTGCTGATACTGCATTCCAAGATGCTCAAATGTATATATTTTTGTTAATTTCCAAAGAGTTTTGTATGTGTACACCATTTATTCGATTTATTTACTAAATTCACTTGAACGTCTCCTCTTCACCTTACGGTTTCACCTTTATTTTGGTTTCAAGATGATAGTAAAGATGTTTTATTATATATTTATTTTCGCTTTCTCAAAATACTTTGGTGTATTCTCAACCCACGATCATCATCAGTATTAAGTCTCTTCTTCATCTGGATCCACTCTCACCCACGCTATTGACTTTCCCTTCCTTGCATAATCAAATATAATTATCAAGTAATCCTGATAAATAATCCATTGAGAGAATACATAATTGTTTATCCTATTTTTTTAGATGTAAACAAGAATAGCTACGATGAGTAATCGTGATGTCAATAATAATGAGCTTAGATTTTATGATTGATCATTAACGTTTTATTTTGGAGTAAAATAATGTTTCTACAATTTTTTCATCTTCATAAAAATTTTTTGTGGCAATCAAATGCTGTATGAATATTATTAGAAGTTAAAGGATCACTAGAATAAGCTCAGTGTCATAAATAAATTGATAAAAAAATTTTTTTCAACTTGCAATGGTTAAAAAAACTATTCTAAATCAGACGAAAATCTTTTTTGAATTTTTCAACCTGTACAGGAAGTATCTTTTCTTCCTTTTATTATTCATACTTCCCGCATGCTTGAAAGAAAAATTCAGCCTTTCTTTCCGCAACCTTTCTCCTACTTTTTTATTGCTCTTTTATTCCTAAAAAATTTTATTACACTGCAGATGTACCTGACAGAATTGTTTTACAACTGCTTACCATATGTCTCAAAGTAAAACGACAAAGTTGATGTTTTGAAGAACTCAATATTTTGATGTTTTCTTTCATGACAGCAGCAACTGACAAATTTATAAACCATCCTCATTCACTTTTACTCCAAGAAGAGAAAAGCTTTAAAGGAAAAAAAATGATGGCTAAAGTTCGAAGGATTCATTAAATCTAAAATTGATAAATCGATGGGGTGAGTGTGATATTTTTTAACGATAAAATTGATCAAAAGCCAAAATATTCAGTTAATCATCTAAAAGGAAGGAATAAACGTAATTCTGTCCCGAGTGTATGTAATAATATGGAGAATAATAAATTGGAAGAGCATTTGTAAGTAGATGATAAATCATGTTTCTTTCCATCTGAACAGATATACCAAAAGAATGAGTTCATCTTCGTGAACGCTCTGACATGGAATCGAGTTCATATTAGCCCCATCTGCCTCCTCGAATGTTCTTCCACATGAACGGACATATACAGGAGAGTACAAACCTTTAGTGTTGCGCGTGAACCCGACGGATTCTACCACTAGACTTCTTCTATACAGCACTGCAACTATACATGTAAAACTGCCTATATAATACCGCGTAGGTACGTGGAATGAATGAGAAACGACTTGTAATGTCTATCATAATACTCAAAAGCAAGTAACGTCCTCCTCATAGATCCGGATTAACTACAGCCAATTGATCAACAATCCAAACGCGCCTACCATGTTTGTCACATTGATTCAGGTATTGAGAAAATAGTACCATGTTTCTTTTTCACTAACAGAAACAATAAATCAGATGAAGGAGTTGGAGGAATGTAAAACAGCAGTTTTAAATAAGCATGATAATCGATTATTGGCTATGAATTTTTTTTTGTCTTTTAGGAGGCTATTAAATTGTTGTTTGTTTGTTTGGTGGAATTAATATGATGTATTGGGTTCTAGGGATATAAATAATGAATATTTTTTTTCAAATATTATTATAAAAATATTCAATTTAATATTGAATAATAAAATAATATTTATAATTTAATATTAAATATTAAATAGAAATTGTTCAATTCTAAGAATCGTTTATTAATTTAATTAATTTAATTATGTTTTAATATATTAATATATAAAAAAATATCTGATGATAATTATTAATAAGACTCATTGATGAGCATTGCGATGATCAGAAAAAATTGAATAATAACTGTAAGATGATATAAAATGATTTCTTAAGAAAACAAATATTGTGATAAAATAAATCAATGTAATTATTGAACTGTTAGTTTGTTTATATTGTCATTTTAATTACTAGAAAAATGTGAGAATTAATTTTGAAATCATTGCTGGTCTTGGGGATTTTTTTTCATTTCTTAGATTCCCATTTAAATCTTCGGATAAATTATGTAATTGTGAAGTTGTTATTGAAAGCCATTTGTTGCTAATAAGATATGAAAACATCGATAATGATGCTATTTTATTAATTAATAATACAGCGATAAATAAAAAATTAAATTATCAAGACAAAAAAAAATATTTTAATTGTAATGAAATTTATTGATTATAACAGTTATAATAATGAAGATTACTCTTCAGAAATAATTAATTTGACTTATGGTACATTTAATAAGAGTAATATTAATATTAAAGTGGACAATAAAAATTTTCAGAAGTAATTTTAATGTAGTTTTTTTTTCACATAGTTTTTAAGTAAATTTTTGGCATAAACGAAATTATATTTAAGAAGTATCTTTTTATGTAGCAAAATTACGATGAAGTAAAAAAAAATGTCATTAAAAAGGAGAAAACCAGTTTCTTGTGTCGTTTTAATTCCCAACTTAAGTATTATCCTTAATTTATAGCTCGATTTAGCCTCGAGCATACTTCGACATTTTATCGGATCTAAGTATAAATGTATCCTAAACTCTCAACACGTGTACAATTTCGAAAGTTGATAATAATAAGCATAATCTAATCAGTTTTTGCAAGAAGTAATGATAAAACAGTATGCTGCAAACACATCTTAATTCTTACATATTAACAACAATTTCAAAATAATTCTTAAAGTCGACATTAGCATATTAAGCATATTGGATGGTCTGCATTTATGAATTGCAATATGGATAAAAATTATAATGGACTAAATATTCGGAAATAGAAAGGCGAAAGGATTAACGTAGGATTAAAAGTTCCTTCAATGGAACCTTTCCAGGAAGGTAACGGTCATTATGTCATTGTCTACACCAATATGCCCTCATATTCCTAAACCAATCAATTATTCAAATGTCTCCTGTTTGAGACGACAATGAAGCGATTAGCAACTCTGTTAACTTTTGGTTTTTGTCCTGACTTTTAAATTAGAGCAATTGTGAAGAGGATACCAACATAACTTTTGTAGGTGGAAGCAGGAGCGAAATAAATTATACAACTAAGAAGAAGTAATTTAGTGACCTGGATTATCCCCACTACCAGCTATTTATTCGCTTTCCTGACCTAAGTATTGGGAGTTGGTTACCGATGCAATAAATTGAATGTCCAAGCACAGGGTTGGATGTATACCTGAAGAGCTCGATGAATTTTACAAAGACGACACATTGACCAGTTTTGTCTTAGCAGAAAAATGTCAGATTAAACCAATAGCTTAGTGTGCCCTACATCAAATGAAATTTATTACTTCTCGAGGTTAGAAACAGCAAAGTGTCAATGCTAGAAATAACTGACAATCATTTCTTACAAATAAACGAGAATTCACATGATGATAAAACTGGTAGAAAACCTGAAACTCAGTATCGTCAAAGTGTTGAAGATAGTCCACCTGGCTGTGACTGGAGTGAAGAGAAGTGGAACCAACAGATCACATCTGGGAGTATCTCAGATCGGTCCGGTAGTGATCAGGATGCTATGGGATTGGTGGAGAACATTTCTTTAGCTTTTGCCAATTGGCAAAGTGACTAGAAGGCGTGGTGAAATGGACGGGCCCATTTTCCCCACTACGATAAATGAATTCAGCTGACTGCCGAGCGCACCTTCGACCAGGCGAACAGGTCGCAGCGCTTCAAGAGCGCTAGTCCTCTCCCGTCCATCGACGTGGCCGCACCTGGTGTGTCTTTTGCGTGCTGCCACGGACGTTTATAATTCTTAAACGTTGTCTATAGTTTTGTTGTTGAATTAACAACTATTTTAACTAAATTGGTAGACTTTGAAGTCAATTAAACCATTTTATTTGGTGATAAGTTTGCATCGATTCGAACCGATTGATCAATCATCAGCCAGATAAGCATCGGAAATTATTTGGCAGTGATCAAGAACTATTGACAAGTGTTGTAAAGACGAATGTTATGTGTTTGTGATTAATTATAAGAGACTACCAGCTTATTATCAACCGGATTCAAACCGCGTGGGAGTTCAAAGAAACTAAAGGTAAGTGCCGGGTGATTTCGACGCCGTGTAGACAAGTAACACCGACTTTATGACGTTAAAATCTCTCTTAATTATCATCTCTACTTAACCATCATACCCATCAGATACTTTTCTTGACTCTTATTTAAATTCAACATTTTTTTTCATCACCACAATAGTTCAGTGCCATAATTCTTGGCTTTACACACGTGCTCTCTTTCTAAGTCAAATGAAAACATTAAAAGATCCCTCATGCTGTGGTCGGTTTTCTGTTGTTATAATATTTGCTCCTTGCAATTCGCGAGGACAAAAGCTCCGAAGAAAAAAGGATCAGTGTCTCAAAAGCGTTACAATTATTATGCATATGATTTTACAAAGGTTTCTCCCATGTCAAAATATATTTATTACTGTGGTGTTGTTTCGCGTATTCTCTACTGTTCCTCTTGTTCTTATTATCGTTTTTTTTTGTTTCGAAATTTATATTTATATTCTCAAGTAAATTCGTTCATAGGGTTGTGGTATGTCAACGTTGTCAACCCTTTATCCATGGACATTTTGTCTCACTTGTAACCCTTTGAGCCTATTTCTTTACGACTCTACCTCTGCTGATGCTTACTTCAATTTTCTCGGTTTGAATACTTTAAAATTCAAGTTGATTGTTATGCAATGATCAATAAAAATAGTCCTAGTAATTGTATTTAAAAATAAATGACTTTTAAAGTATTTTTTATCAAGTAATATGATCCTCTATCATTAGTTGCTCTTATTTATTATCAATTAAGAGAATAATGAAATCTCATTTTTTTGTAATCTCTAAATCATCATGAAACTATAAGGTATTCAATTGAAAAATATATCAGATCCTGGCAGCAAAAAAACCGGGATTTTTTTTTGCAATAAAAATAAAATTACACAACTCATAAAAAATAAATTAATATCAGAGAAAAATATACTATCTTCAACAAAATTTCCTTCTTTTTTCCAATTATTGCATTGACGCACGAATCTCAAATGATTTCATGGTGAAAGTGGCCTCGTCACATTATTTTGACATAAAGTATCTGATGTAATTATACGATCTTATCATCGCTAACAAAAATATCATGTCTCATTATCATTGAAACAAAATTTTCCAATTTTACCTCGTTAAAAATGTTATCACTTAGATAATAATAGACTTATTGTGAGATCGACACGTGCCAATGTACTGATGGGAAAATCCTTGCATCGTTTCCGTTGAATGACAGAACAATAACTGAAGCGCATAAATTGATGCAACCTAACAATACAAGTTTATGTAAAGTTAATTGAAAATTACCGTGAGAATGATACTCTTAGAGTCGACAGAAAATAGTTTAATGACAAATATTATTTTTCCGCATTTAGATATGAATAAATAGATTAGGTATCAAGGTATATATATATACATTTAGTATATCTAAAGATACATAATATAAGCATAAAATAATAAGTACACATTACACAACTTCCCACGAATTGATTTACATCACGAGATTAATTCTTTTTAACTCGTTCATGTCCTCCTACTATTTTCCCTGTTTGATTTTTAATGAGTCATCTAGAACTCTTGGGTTGGACAATTGTATCAAAACCTCTTGAATCATTGACCCTGAATATATTTTAGAGTTACAAGAAAAGAAGTCATCTGAATAAGAAAATTTAAAAAATAATAAATAAAATGATATTGAAAATAAATTTTTAAATACTGTTTTAGGTGTTGGAAATTATATAATTGATGATTAAAAGCTTCAGATGTATTCTAAATATTTGAGGATATTTTTTTAAATGTATCAGGATGAATAATGAGGAAGAATTTGCAATGCAAAGCAACAATACTGTTTGAAGAAGAAAAAAATCAGTGTAATTTTCATTACATTATTTTAAAGTAATTATTGAAATTTAATTGAATAAAATTAGATGTGACGAATAAGAATTATTTGAATTGGATATAGAGGATAAACATTATTTCAAGATTTGTTGTAATAATAATTGGAATGCTCCAGAGAGGAAATACTCGAGTCCAACTGTTCTACGATTTTTTTAATGCTAAAAACAGCTGGCAATCGAATTTAAAGGCAAGACGAATTGGAATACGAGGACGTTATGTGTTCCCAGAGAAAGAGAGTGAACATAACCACGAGTTAAATTGAAAAAAGGGTTAAAGAAAAATTCAAGTGTCGGAATTCAAATGTAGGTTTCAAAGTCCTGTTAAAAATCGAATCGGTCACGGCTTGAGGAGTTGAACAATGTCTCTTAAAAAATCTACACTCGGTCATTCCTCTCCCTTATTCTTGATCGTATTTTTTTCTATTTCTCCAACTTCCTCTTCTCTCACTCTGTGCATCAATTTCTCTCCTTCGGTGTATCCCCTTTTACCCGCAAACCCAACAAGCCTAAACTGTCGCGATAAACGATCCTCTTGTGAAAGTTATTAATTGTCTGCTTTTAGCTCCTGGTTTGAGAGCATTGTGAATCGCGAAAACATTAACCGAAGGAGATATATTCGTCCCCCGACTTATTATTTCCAAGAGCGTCATTTTTCAAGGACCCTCTCTCTACTTGTCTCGAGGCTTTTAAACTTCTGAGTTTGCTCCTGGGGACGTCGATCCATCCATCAGAATGATCGTTAAAAACGAATCTAGATACAAATCACCGGGCGTCAAAAACTGTGATGTTTTGTAAATAGATTTTTCATAAAATTGCCTTCTCATGATTTTTAACATTTTTTTCTCCTTCGTTCTTGCATTCTTTGGACCTCCTTCTTTATGCACAGCCATCCAAAGTTGTTCTCCAAACCATTTATGCTCCAAAAAATCTTACCTAAACAGAAAAATAAATTCATTTCAGTTTATTTAGTCATTAATTTGTAATTTTAAATAATTTACGAGTTTTAATTGAAATAAAATGAATTCTCATAAAGATCAGGATGTTTTAAGAATTAACTTCCTTTATTCATTCATCAGGAAGTTAATTAGCCACAATAGTTAAGTATTCTAAAGCTATTTTTCACATCGAAGGAAAAAATTACAGAAAATGACTTAATTAAAAAAAATTAAAACTTGATTAAAAAACAAAAAAAAATTTTTTCATCATAATATCAGTATTGACAGTTATGATTACATTTGAAAAATTTCCGATAAGCCAATAAAGTATTTATTCGCCTGACAATTAGTCAACGAACCCCATCGAAAAAGTCCACAAGTCTCTTATTGGTTTTTCAGTTCACCAAAGTCAAAGAGACAAGCTTAAAAATCAGGTAGAGAGTGACAAGAATCAGGGTTGAGTAATCGAGGGTTAGAAAGGAGTTGAAGACGAGCAGAGAAGAGGGGATAATGTATAAAAAAATATAAAGAAGTGAAAAGGAAGATAAAAATGTAGGATAGAGGTCATGAAAGGGATAAACGTCGTGCTCGAATTTAATGGTGCGTAAAGTAGAGTAGGGTGCAGAAGACAGTCACCCCTCAAGTCAATGTTTTTTTTTATCTCTCCTCATCTTCATAGTCTTCTTTCCTTTATATTCTACAGTTTAGTCTCATCTTTCCACGCCAGACCTTAAATGCAAAAGTCAACGAGGTCGTGCTAGGGAACAGACAATAAGGAACAATCCAAAGGGGGAACTTTGTATATAATATAATATGAACGCGTCTCATCGTTTCTTTCTTATTCTCTCGACTTTTGACGTCGGTCTGATCTAGAAATGAGGTCTTTTGCCGCTGACTGAGGCACACGCGTGTTCTTTGACTTCATTAACGTACAAGTGTCGGCAAATATTGACGTAGAAAATATAACTAGGGTACGAGTTCTAACCCTTGTAATGTAGTTCAATCTTCATGTCTCAAAATATCCTAATTATTTGTCTAAAAAAGTTTAACCAGTCTCTTAAAGAATTATGCTAATATTTTTCCTGAAAAAAGTGGCACAAAAACATGCTAAATTAGTTTTTTTTTTTAAATAAATACATTATTTATTATGATAAAATTAAAAAAATAATTTAATGCAGAATTATTATTAAAATAAAAAATTTAAAAACAATTTAAACAATTTCTTGTCTTATCTCAATCGAAAGCTAATTTTTGGTAAAATTACGTTATAACATCTGTCACTTTGAAATCAATTTACAAACCACGTTTTTATTATTTTTGCATATCTCTCATCCTCAGGCAAAAAACTACGTGTCTAGATGCTCGATTAATATTACATCTCTGAGAAAGTCTTAGAAAAGTATAATTCTTGGGGCTAAAACGTGTGCCGAATATTTTTTAATAATTTATTAACGGTAAAATGACCGAAATTAAACAGATATTACTATTTTCTTCATAAGAAAAAGGAAAAAATATTTTCTCCCATTAGAGTAAGAATAAAAATGGAGCAACTTGTCAGAGGTTAAAGGGTGTCTTTAACCAGAACTGGTATAAAAAAAATGTAAACGTTAACGAAGCAGCAGAAAGTAAAGACAATAACAAGCAGACAAAGAGGATATGTTACGGACATTGTCGAGTCTCTTGGTTGCAGCCTTTAAAAGTAATTATCCAAGAGAGTCAACGCGTCCACTGTTAAGTCCACCAAGAGTTCTAATTACTGAGTGAATTCTCGTTAAAATACTCGGTCTGTGTTGTATAAAAACAACCCTTCACTACACTTCAGACCCTACACTTAAAGTTACAGTCACGTTAAATATTCGTTAAGTTTCATTTATTCATCTCTTTTATGCTTTCAAATTCATCTTTACACATTCACTTCCTACTAGAAATCTTTCACTAAAGTTCCTAATTAGCTCTTATTTATTTCTCAAACGTAAATAATCCAAAACTATCATCTTATCAATAAAATTACTTTACTTTCTAAATTGATTTTAATCATGAAAAAACAAACTTATTAGTGCAAAAAAACATCGTCATTTGAGTTAATAACAAATTAACGACACAAAAAAATGATTGTAATCATGTTATTTTCACGAATTTAAATAATGAAGGACTTTTAGACAGCAACTGCCGGTTATGGTGGTGAATGAATCGATAAAAATAAAATATTTTAAGAGAACAAGGGGAAAAAAAAGGCCCGAAAAGTCATAAAATTCAGTATTTATCAGATCGTGGCCTAATTTTATTCCAGTTTACTCGAAAAAAATAAATGGGTCCGGACAAGTATATGAGTGTATGGAAGTTATGTGAGGTGGTGAGTAAGGGGGAAGGAAAGGGCACATATATAGTATAAGAGGAGAAAAGAAACTCCGTCAGGCAGATGGCACCGGGCGGGCAGATAGCGCTGATTTATGAAACAGTATCGTCCAAGAGAACGAGTTTCCGTTCAGATGAGACTTGGTTTTGTTACCAAGTTCATTCTAATGGTTTCTCATCATCACTATTGCTTTATTCTTTCAATTAATAAACAACCTGAAACAATAAAATACCTACTGATCAATCTGCTCAATCAAGAATATTTTTTTTTTATTTTTTAAATTATCGTGATAAATAAAATCTACAATACTCGTTGGACTCGGTGGATCGTAAAATTTTTTTAATCCAAGAACTAGAAAAAGGTAGATAGCGACTAGAAAACGTACGTTCTGGATTAAAGTTATGACTGGTCTCTCGAAAGAGATCGAACTTTGAGAAGGTGCATCATCAAACCGGTTCCTCCCCCGCTTGTTCTCTTTTTTATTATTATTATTTCTTTCTCCTCCTTTTTCACTATTTTTTTCAACTCTCTTATTTATTCATCTTCTTCTTCTCTTCTTCTTCTTCATCGTCCTTGAAATCTCGAAACTTGCCACCGTATAATAATCCCCGAATAATGTAATTTATGTAATTGCAGATGAACCAACAGTGCAAGGTTTGCGGCGAGCCTGCAGCAGGCTTCCATTTCGGAGCATTTACCTGTGAGGGTTGTAAGGTGAGGAAAGGAATGAATTTTTAAACAACAAAAAATTATTTCACGATTGATTAAAATTTTTTTTTAATCATTATTTACGTTAAATGGAGGCTTGAAAAAAATTTTAAACAGTTTTTTAGAATATAATAGAACTTAAATGATGACTAGGTGTAATTGATCAATAATAATCGATTAATTACTGTCCCAATCTCATGTTTAAATTCGTCTAAAAAAAACGCATTAATAAGCCGGGACTAATCGACGCGTCGAGTTGAAGCGCAAGGTGCAAAAGTTATGAAAAAAACTCGCGCCCGTCTCGAATCCGTAAGTGGACGGAATCAAGCGAATCGAATTGATTATCTTTATTTTTTTTTTGTACATTTCTTATGCATCTATTAAACTCATCTATTTAAAATGATGATAAAAATAAATATTAATTTTGAACAAATTATTGAAACCACAACAAACAAAAATAATCAAACTCTTCAGAAAGTAACAACAAAAATGATTGGCGGAAGTGTAGTTAGATATAAATGATGTTTATAACAGCGACTTTATGATGTTCTTATTCTCACTCCCTCACTCAGTACACAATATTCGCACAGAGAGTACTTCGATTACCGTATATACACTTTCACGAATCCTTTCACCGTGACTTCGTCTGTCGACTGGAACGAACCGCCGGGAAATGGTTCATATCTCAGGCGAACCCTATAACCCGAAAGCTTTCGAGATGAATACAAAAGTTCACATCAATCCTGATGACAATAATGACTCTTCCACTGCTAGTTTAACGACTTTAGTAGACGTAAAAGTCAGTCACTGCTTTTAAAATAATTAAAAGGTCATTAAAATTATCCAAGAACCCCATTAAAATGTCTGAAATGATTTTTAACTAAATTCTGGAGCCTTACAGCTAATTAAAACACTTTTTAAAGAACAACTCATGACAATTTAATTGGATGATATTTTTCTTATCCAATTTTTATTTATTTATTTCCTTAACTTTTTTTCCATGCTAAAATATTCATCAAAAGAAAGCGCAGCAATTTTTTTTTTTTTGTAAATAATTAGAGTAATTTATAGAGTTTTAAACAGTAATTTAAACTCTTTTATTAGCATCCTTACAATCATTTATTTAAAAAAATCATTTTTTTAACCTCAAATGCTAGGTATCGTTGAAAATTCCTGACCCTTTGATTGCCCTGGCGAGTTCTCAGGGCTTGAAGATTGCCCAAAAATTCGCGTTTCGTGATGGAGCAATGAAAAAAAGATTCATAAGGAATAATGTGAGGAGAGCACGAGAAGATGCTTTTCGGCCGTGGTAAAAATTCATATGAATATTAACGGTGATTTTCCTCTGTTCTGATATTCTATACGGCCTCCACTCTTATTATAATATGCACCCAAATTCATACCTCGTTAAGGGTCATCAGCTTTTCTGGAATATTTAGGCCGATGTAAATATCAACCAATATGATGTAAATGAAGTCCAGCTGCATTGTTTCTGATGAATTCAATGGACTTTGAAATTTATGCGACCTCAAGAATGTCAGTGGAAATTCCCGGGCTACCAAAAAGACGTTTCGAGAGAGTTTCAATGACTCAGACTCATCGACAATTCTTCATTTTTTAGTCTCGCGATGGTGCGTAAATGATTGAGGACAAAGAATTGTCAAGAATACCGTTTTAGTGACCGGTGAAAAGTCACTTTGCATTATCATCATTTTAGGTTGATATATTGTGACTTGACGATGTTGTCTCGCTTCCTGTGATCGTAAAAGACACTTAGGTTACTTCCTGATGTGGGAGAGTAGATCAGGAAATGCATTTTAAGCCTGTTACGATAAGCTGTGGATTACAAGATTGAAGCTTGCTAAGAGATAAAGTTAAGTAAAGGATATATTTGCCAGAGACACGTGTGATTAAATGGATCATAAAGCCGGGATTCCGCAAGTAAACATTGAGCACGTGCGACTATTTCCTTGGAATACCAACCAGTGATTATATGTCACTTAATTGCTCGCAATTCCGAGCACTTGGGTATCGTATACCTGAGTGGACACTTGCTTTTACTCAGAAGTCGACTGTGCATTTTTCTTCGATATCGTTAACATGACGATATAAATAAATACTCTATCTCTATTTTCTTCGAGAAGTACATTCTAGCACAGAACGTGTTGACTAAAAAATTCAAGTGGTCTGAAGATGAATGAATTAGAAAAATTATCGAGCCAGAAAAGAGTCATTTCTCATGATGTGGGATGAATTCTGAAATTTTAAAAAATATAGTCGGCTGTTGAAAGAAGAAACTAAATTTCATTGGTCTATCTGCACTGTTAACTTCCTATTTGATGCATTCAAAGACTAAAGATCATTTTATTTATATTGTATTCAAATCATCTAGTTCTTTATTTATTGCTAATTTAAATTTTTTGCAAACCTCATCAAGTGTTCATTAAACAATTATACGTCGAAAGAAATTGGTTCGAAGTCGATGTTATTTTTTGTTCTCAAGATATGCAAGACGAAAAAAAGTTCATAAATATCTCGCTGAAAACAATGATTTTGAACTCTAGGTGCCTCAAGACTTGAAGATGCATCAACATTTTTAATTCAAAAAATCGGATTCATTCCAATAACTTCTAAATGAGCAGCAATTAATACTTTTCAACTCATTGAAAATTGCCATCACCTTGTTTTTTAGAAAAAAATAAGTTGAAAAAAAAAAGTCCAAGTCGTGACATTTTTTTTGTCCAACAGCACAAAATACACAAGTGTAAAAGATCGTATGTAAGCCAAGAAACCGCGGCGAACCACAGATCACAGATCACACCCATAAGAGAGCGATTTACGATCGTCCTTTATTTTCCTTCACTCTCTGCATATATTTATTCTATCCTCGACTATGAACATATACGTATGTATATTTAGTGATTATATTTCTCCGTAAGTCCGCGAAAGCCCACCTACGGATGAACCCTGGGACCTCGTATGTGGGCCAAACCACTCGGGCGACGACACTCGTGGCTTTACGACGACTTTACGAGCAAATAAATTCTGTCTCCGCGAAAGGATCGGTATCACAGTATCTTCTCTGGCGCCGTGAACATCCCAGAGTCAACGTGGAAAAAACCAGGCTGTAAAAAACTCAAAGAGTCACCACTAAAAAGTAAAAAATCATGACACGACACTGCACAATACCCTGCATCACTAGTTTTATTATACTCTAATGAAAAGTAATCGATATTAAATTTAACATTGATTCTAAAATTTATCAATAACAAAATCTATCTCTAGTTGAAGAAAAAAAAATCATTTCATCATAATTCACAGCTTTAAATTCTGCAAAAAACGATTGGTGACATGAAAAAAAATCATGGCAAGAAAAAATATTTGTTTTCACATTGAGAAGATCCTTTTTCAGTATTTCTGAGCATCAGGAGTTGATCGTAAAATGTATGACTTGGAGTATATGAAAGAGAATTGAATGCCAATTGAGTGCCGATGGTGATCCTTTGGACTCCATCACGTAAGATCTCTCGCCAGTAGTTTCCGTACCTTTATGGTAAGACACTAGAGTAGCAGGATCGTAAGTCAACATTTTTTCTCTTGTCCCGAACTCCAAGAGACCGATACGGGAGAGGAGAATTTGTCTCGAGCGATTTGCTTGCATCAGCTTCTCTCTGGATCTTCCACACGAGCCGATGGAAAATGTCCTGCGTACTCTTTCATCTGCTACACAGACTCACCAACTGGCAACGTCTTTACATATATAAATAAACACACGTGTCTTTGATCCTGCATTGGAGCGTCTCGCGACTTACGAGTGAAGATTGACGGCAGATCGATTCATGCTTCAGAGAGAACAGTTGCGCTTTAAAAGATCGACTTGACTCTCTTCTGATTCTCTTACTGACTTGCCGCGTGCGCTCGATAGATCAACTTTAAAGATAAAGTCACGCTAGTAACCGCAAGAATCTAGAGTCAATTATGTTGAGTTTAATGTTGAAAAAAAATCATTCAAACAAATAAGTCGATTTAATTCTTTTCTTCATCCTTATTGAAGAGTTTGGATTGCAGCAGGTGAACTTGATGAATGCGTAACGTGTTCTCGATTCTTATGCACGATTTCTTGCACAATTCGATTGTCGTGATTTTTATAATGAATACCAAGTGATTCGATAATCAAAATTGCTTTTAGAGTATTCAATTTCATCCAAACGATTACAATTCAATTCAATATCGATGGTATTTATTTTCTACTGGTATTTTAATCTGATCCTACGGTGAATTGATAATAAAAAGTATTTATTTAGAATCGAGACTTCAGACTCAATAAATAAATAGATTACTCCACGACTTGCTCAAGACTATTTCTGCACTGGATGTACTACCATTTAAGTTATCCCAAACTCGTGTAAATTCTTCTATCAATCATGCCTGCACTCGTCTTGATGTGGCTTCCTTTACTTCACCGTCTTTTTTATGGCATGAAATAAATTGATTCATAGTCATATTAATTTTCCCAGGACAAATAGGCTTGAGTTCCAATTCTTTACTTTCTGATGAATGATTGGAAAACTTCTGAATACTCAGTTTAATGTTTAAAAAACAGCAATTGTTTATCATCGAGTTTCCTGACTCGATTCTAGACCGCAGAAAGAAAACGAGAGTGGAACATTTCACATTCCAAACACACGCAGAGTCAGTCGTCTTCAAGGTCTCATCCACTCGTGCGTTCCAGATACACTTGAATCATTGCCAGGAAAAAAATTCAATACAAAATCTGTCAAATTTTTTTATTGAATTCAAGTCCAGTCGAGTCATCATGGGGAATGCCATCTAGGAAGGAAACGATCTTATTTAACTGGAAGGAGATCAGGTGGTGAGTCATTGAAATCGCCGATGAGTCTTCAGAATAAGTAGGATAAACATCGAATACCTACTCTAATAAAATCAAATTTATTATTCTTGTGTGAGAAAAATAACTGCAATTTTTTAGCATGATTTGTTCACCACTTTAATGAGTGTATGAAATCATCAAGGAATTGAATGTTGAATTTTGAATGGTTTAATAATGAAATAAATAAAATTAGACAAGTATTTAAGGCGATGATGAATCAAGTGTTGAGCTCAATGACCAATAATTAGAAAGCAATCACTTGGAATGGTCGTGAAAATGTTCTTCAAAAGGATGACATCATGCATAGCCATATTTACAAGTGATTCCGGAAGTGAAGATGGTAAAGCACGTCTTGGAGAACATAATCCTGTGATGACGCGAGCAGGTGGTTATGGGAACCTTTCGTTGGTCTTCTCCAGCATGCGCGTGTGTGTACTCTCGGACCGTTCGCGAGGTCAAGTCGGTGACGCGCGACACGAGACCCTCTCACCCGCGGGTTCTAGACAGCGGACACGACCACACCGGGCTCACTCTAGAGTACATGAGTGGATCTGAGAGTATACACAAAGAGAAAGAGATAGAAAAAGCTCCTCTCGACTTGCCGGTACAGCGCCTGGACAGGCCATTTCACATTCCCACGTCCTTAATATAGATTGTTGATACGAGTAGATGAGAGAGCGCACACAGAGAGTAGACTATCTGTTATGTTCAGCAGAAGATGCTCGTGAAAAGGTGAAATGGACCTGGAGAAGTGTATGGAATAAGAGAGTCTCACGGATCACGTGAAGCTCAAATGAACCATCTCCAACTCCTCGAGAGCTTGAGTCAATCATATTTTTGTAAAAATTTCAAAAATTATAACGTTGGAATAATGAGGTGGGATTATAAGCCACTCCCTCGGGAAAATAATTATAATCTTGAACATATCACTGTAATGCTACAGGAATCATTTCTGTTATTTGTTTTTTAAATTGTTTGGAATTTTTCATCAACTATTTCTCAGCTTTATTTAATAGTAAAACTGCACTGTAATTCAATATATTATTGCAACATTGTGTTTATTGTTTGCTGATAAAAACTTTAGTTGTAATTTTTGTTTTTTCTTAGTCAACGGTGTGAAAACATATTGATTGACTTATAGCTACTGTTTTTTCTTCCAAATCCGGATTAAATGTTCAGCAAACCTACACACAAGTGCACAACGGGATTCGCTTAAATCGTTACATAATGGTCTCAGAGTGGCTACGATCAGTTCGAAGGATTTCGCGAGATTTAATTTTTTTTTTTTTTCGACTAGCAAAACACGTCGCTTTGAACGAACCGGTGCTGTTTGCCATTTAGGGGTCGCGTGCGACAAATCCGTCGCGCGCCGACAGGCAACTGGGATTATCTCAAATCAGTTGGCACGCCCGGAATCCCGGTGCGATTTGTAGAGGCCATAAAATTGCTCAGGAAAAACTTTGTCCTCGACTTGAGCCTCATAGAACTCGAGTAAATGTTCTTTCACTTTGCTTAACTTCTGCTGCAACAGACACGAGCACTGCGGAATCCGGAAGACTAGATACATTCTCTTATTCGAATGTTCTGTTATTGCTTTAGACTCTTTAGATTCTTCATCAAGTATCTAAAAAACCTAAACTACGCCAATACTTTTTACCATTGGGTCATAAATATCATGTTGATCAACTATTTCTTGAGAAAACAAATTAAATTCTAATTTAAGTTTAGCTAAAAAATGGTGATATGACATTATAAAGGAGCAATGAGTGGGTGAAATGATAACGGATCCATGAACAAAAAGTCTAACGGTCTTGGGTATTCATATTAAAGTTATCAGACACTTTTAGGTCGTTGAAGAATTTGCAAGTGCTTGAGAAAGATGCGAAAGAGACAATTCTCACGGATACAACATTTGCAATGAGCGAAAATGTCGCGTCATCGTTTGAGCTGGATGCAGCGTGACCATAAAATCATCCTATGTGTGTAGATGATTTTACATAGTATACTTGATATAAAGTCTCTTCTAGGTGCTTGGAGAATCACAGGATTGCATTTGGCACGGTACTGAAGTTAGCAGACGGACGAGGGTCCGAGGAGTAATCTTCCGGTAGCAATCTTTAGTTTAGATCGTGGGGGTAGACTCAACGGAATGGTGACCGCTCGTACGCCAGATGATCCATGCTGTCAGTACCACTACTGTGTGAAACAGGTTACGGTGTCACTTCTTCAGCAAAGGTTATTTATCTTCGGTAAAGCCGGAGAGTATAATTTAGCATCTTATTATATTTTTTTTAGTAAAGAAAAAGAGTCCAAATTAGACTGTTAGATCAGAGGTTTCAATTCCGGGTGGGAAGAGTTATTTTCCATCAAAATAAAATGCCCATTTAGATTTTTTCTTCAAAAGTATGTAATTAAAATAAAAATCTAGATGATGATGAAGGAGTCAAAATGCTTGCTTATCGGTTACAGGCTTATACAAAAGATTCAAAAGCAGGATCGTAAATTAGTCGCCGATGACCGTGTGAGCGTGCGGCTTCTTAGCTCTTCTATGGCCGTGATTCTCAGCAAGGCGGTTTTATCGTCGGCCGACAAGCGTTTAACTTTACGATCGACCACGCCGTATGCCCTCCCTCTTCTTATTCACCCCGCTCTCTTGTCTAAAGCATGCTAATTCTCATGACGCGCGTAACATTAAGTCCTGACGTTTAATCCAGTGGAGAATATACTTGGCGTGAAGGTACAGGCCCATTTAACGGCAGTAAGCCGGTAACTTCTAAGCCTCCCGATACTTGCCATCAACTATAACTCAAGCATTTATTGTCGATCAAGTGTAGAGCACAGCAATAACTGAATCTTTCTTGTCTTTTGTTGCAGTCTTTCTTCGGTCGGACGTACAACAACTTGGGAAGCATATCTGAGTGTAAGAATGGAGGGATGTGCGTCATCAACAAGAAGAACAGAACAGCTTGCAAGGCATGCCGACTACGCAAATGTCTGATGGTTGGAATGTCCAAGTCAGGTTCACGATACGGAAGAAGATCCAATTGGTTTAAGATTCATTGTCTTCTCCAGGAACAGACTCATAATAATCATGGATCCACTCCTTCATTTGGGTCTGGTTTTCTTCCTGGTTTCCTACCACCATCACACACCAGTCAAAGTGTCTTCAAAGACAAAGACCGCACGTCACCAAGCCAAGAAGATCTGGCACTTCAATCCCACCTGCTCCACGTGGCTATGCTGAAGCAGGAGCGTGAACGTAGCAACAAGTCACCTCATCCAGACGATGTAGCTTTGCAAAACCAGTTGCGATTACTCGCTTGGCAAAAGGAGCGAGAACGTGCGGGTCAGCCACATCAGCCACCTGGAACCCCACCGAGAGACGGCACGCCACCGTCGTTTGGTTACAAGCACCCTACGACCTCGCCTATGTTCCCTGTGAACTTTGCTCACAAGGAAATCACTAGTCCTCCAGAGTTTCGTCCATTCCTTCCAAGTTACAAAAGAGCTGCTGATACCCCAAGCGATAGTGGAGCATCCTCTATTGATGGCAATGATCACGATGAGTCTCGAAGCAATTCTGCATTGAGTTATTTCAAAACTTCAGCTTCACCTACGCTCTCAGAACGTGAGTTTCCTCCTAGAAAAATAAACGCCACAGTTACTCTCACTGCTGGCTTCCATCCACATACTGGATTGGGTCTCGTTTACCCTCCAGCTGGGCTTGTTACTCCAGCAGCATCTCAACATTCGCCAAGAGGTGGAGATTTACTTCTCGTCAGCCCGAGCCCTGGAGGCTTAGCTGTCGAGCAAGATGAGCCCATCGATCTTAGTATCAGGTCGACAAGGAGTTCACCAAGACCCAGCAGGACTCCTGAACAAAAGCAAGAAACTAGACCTGAAAGTCGCAATAATATTCCTGAAGAAACTACTACTAAGAGCAAACCTCTAGACTTAACACTCAGTGTAAAGAGGCCCACTGAGGTCCCTCTTTCTCTTTAAATTATTTTTTATGTAATCCAAGTGAGCTAGACTCACTAATTAATCCACAAAAATTGTGTTCAATTTGTATATACTTAATAACTCGCGATGACAATTAATTTATTACCGATTAGATAGCAAAAAGATTATATTGTGTTTGTTATTATGTTTTTTTGTAACTCATCTTTTTTTTTAACGCTGTATGGATGGAAGTCTATGCATAAGGAGGCCAGTAGTACGGTGACTTAATATATTCAAAAAAAATATTTATATGTATAAAAAACAATGTATACATATAGAGTAAAATTTAGAAGTAAAATATAACCAGTAGTGCTGGTAAAAATTTCATTAAATCATTCTTTTTTTTTTATTATAATTATATCTATTAAAAGAGAGTATTTAATACTGTTAGATTCTATTGTTAAGTATACACTGGACCATAGGCTCAAATTTTAATAAAATTATATAAAAATTTATCCACTCGTTTCTTTTAATAGAAATAATTATTTACAATTAATGTACACAATTTTATTGAAATGTACGATTTCTCTTTAGCATCAAATTATATTTTTGTAAATAAATAAAATCATGATGAAAGCCGTGGTTTTATATTGATGTAAATAATAGTAAATAAGAGGTGATGATGAGGCCAGTAAGCAACGAAATAAATATTTTTTCTTAACGTGTATAAGTAATGAAATGATTTTTTATTCACTTAAAAAATTTCCCTCTATTAATTTTAACAACGTAACAACCTAATGTTTAAGTCAAAGAGCAGAAGAGCGTCTTCTTATATGTTTCTTTTAGAAAATTTATGACTGAGAGTTAATCCTAAATCCTTCTTTAGTATATAGAGAAGAAGTAGAAGGAGGAGAGAGAGACTGGTGTTTCTCCACACGCGGAATCACTTAGCTGGCATATAAATCAGTGATGAGAAAAGCTCAGCAGCACTACCGTGGGCGAAATCGAACACACTTCTTCATGGTTTCTATATGACTAACCTTGAGTCTTAAGTTCTCTATAAGATAAACGTTTTATGCGTTCAAACAGCACATGAATGCAACCAGTCAACAAGTTTCTTAGCATAGAAGGCAGCACTAAACACGCTCAGATACTTGCTAGTAAGTAAGGAATCAGGTACCATCAATCAATTGCACCAGGAAGCGTAGATTGCAAAATCATTGAGTTACGGATACTTGCTTATACAGAGCGTGACGTTTGACCTTGCCAGGTCGTGTGTTTTTTCCTGTTTTGATCAATCGTACAACTATTTATGCATCATCAAAAATAAACTAATGCGCAATCATTTTTCTTTCTCGTTGCTTCATCTACATTATTCCTTTATTATCATCAACTTCATCTACACGAATACCTGTTAATACAAATCGGATAATTATTTTTTATTTCAACAAATGGTGATGGTAATAATAAATGTGTTGAGCATCGACTAGTGCTGATATTGAGAAAGTTTCATTATATGGTAAAACAATTAATTATAATTAATAGTGAAATGCGACAGGTAATTCGAACGCTTTCTTCATCAACTACCAGACAAATTGGTTCGTAGAAATAGTGGTAAGAGTGAATTAAAAGAACTACTTTTTATTTTTCTTGACAAATTTAAATTGGCACGTGCGTGCAATAATTGCCATGTGCTCGTGTTGTCTGCAATGGATAACAAACGGTCGAAGCCAACGGCAATGCGTCAGTTCACTTGCGACTGCAGGTTTCACCACCACCCGGCAATATAAGCAATCGTTCAAGCCCGTCATGACTCTATGCATGAGTTGAGAAATCTTACCATGCTATTCACTTTAAATTTCAACTGACAGTTTTATTTAATCTCATTTTTTCTTCATGAAATATAAATACTAATATAATCTCCGTGGCATAGATATGTTGGATCAAAACCATCAAATAAATTGCTACTGTAGTTTACCGATAGGTCAGATGTTCTTTTTATTAGATTTTTGCTGTCTAGTTTGTGTTTTACGATTATTTAACATTTAATGATTCGTAAGAATTATCGATTTCAAGAAAATGTGTTTATTTTACTTGAAGATAGATCGGAGGTTGATTGATTCAACCCAATGAATAACTATGATTTAGATTATTACAAAAGCACCATTTAATTTGATTTTGATCGATTTACTTTCTTCCAATGTTTTATTCATTTTTTTTTAAATTAAAAAGTCTTATTGAGTGTAATAAAAAATTTAAAATGCTAAAGTTTGAATTACTGGTATTTGTAATGGCTTCTGGCATATGGTTTTAGCAACATCTAGTGACAACGTTTTGAACTCTTACATGGAAAATTTTATAATTTATCACATTTGTAAATTTTTTTATCATTATTAATTAAACTACTATGTTAATAACTTACATTATATTTATAAATAAAAAAAATATTTTTGGATTATTATTGCGATAAGTAAATTAATTGATATAATATCATGATTAATTGCTGATTCAATAATAAGAAGAGAAAAATTATTTCTGAAACATTGTTAAAATTCAATCAAGTAATTATAACCATCGATAACAACTCACTTTAATGAGTACTTTAAATAATAATTGATAAAAACTGTGTATTCAATGTATTAATATAGATAAAATATTCCAAAAATGTTAAAAAGTTTGATGAAGTTTAATTTAATCGATAGATCGCATTTACAAGGTATTCTCTGCCAATTAAAAGAGTAAAAGTAAGTTTAGCAAAAAATAATTGAGAAAAATGATTCTGAAGATGATGTTAAGGCACGTGGGGCGGAGAAAAACAAGTGGGGGCTAAAAGGGGATGCCGATTAAGCTATGCAATCGCCAATTATCGGCAATTTGATCCGGTTATAACTCAATTTAAAGTAATTGGGCCGAGCCGGCACGACTTGACTCATTCTCCTACAGCGCGCGTCGTTTAACGCCGTGGTGGGCCGTAAATTGCTGATCGACGATCTGCCAATGCTGCCAAGACTATCCATCAGCGATTCTCACTAGAGAAAAAAATCATTATCAATTTTATAAAATCACATATTCGTATATACTATCAAAAAATTGATTATATTTTTTGTCTATTTAAAAATGATTCAAATTTATCTATATTTTTATCAATCATAAAAAGCTACTTTGAATTGATATCTAAGTAAGTAATTAATGAAGCAATTGAAACATGAGAAGTGCAAGCATAAAAATGTTGAATAGTTGTAGGAAATTTCACTCATTGATTTGTTTTGTAAATAAACAACAATCTAATATGGTAGTTAAAATAAATTAACTCTATTTCCTTGGATGGAATAAAAAAGCGAGCAATAAAACAAGAATTAACATTTTTGATAGATTTTTTACAACAAAAAAGGAGAGTTTTACTAAAAGTTTCGTAAGAGAATATTTGTGTCCTGCGGTCAGTCTCGCACCCGTTGACAAATTTGACAAGGTACGCAATCGATTGCTCTTAATCGGTGGTAATCGATACAGCGATCAGAGTCCATTAGGCGGGGAAGCCCCCGGACCTTACCTCAGAATAAACTCTGGTCCATTGGCTTTTCGATCACGTCGGACTACTCACCGAGGAAATCGAGCAAACTTTTCTCCGGTGGAGACACGTCACTTGTCAGTATACGAGTATCGAGGGACCACATTTTTTTATTTTTATATGTTTCTTTCCTCCTTTATCGTGTATCGACAGTTGTGAGACCGTATTACAGAGTATGATCCGTATCGCTTCTTGTTTCTACTTTCACGATGCCATCCACGTCCAGACAGACATCGAAAAAATTATTGGCTTACAAAAATATGGGAAATTGAATTGCATTTTACTTGAGATGCTCATGTGGAATGTATGAATATTTTCATTTTAATAAATTTCCTAAAGTCAACAGATGTTAATCATCATAAAACAACATGCTTTTTTATCATAAATATTTGTATCATTATATCAATTTCACTCTCCAAATTCAAATCATCAGATAAATCTTGAGAATTTATTGTAAATAATTATTTAAATGTCATTAATTTGATCAAATTACATTACATAGTTTGGCATTAAAATTTTTTGAGTAATGTAATTGTTAAAATTAATCAAGGAAATGATGTAACAGACTTCAATAAAAATTGCTCTGGAAATCTTTAAAAAAATGGCAAGCATGAAATGTGATGATAAATTGATCGTTTACCCTTTTATTCATTTGATAGAGAGAGTTTGGTGGAAAGTAAAAATGATAAACTTCAACATTCTTTCATATAACTCCCTAAGGTTAAGCCAAATGCCCACGGAGTAAACGTCTCAATCATCCTCCTCATAGCCATTGAAAGCGATCTGTCTATTCGCACCGGACGATTATAAACTCGTTCGCGGTAACTGGAGTCGAGAGACCACCTCTATACAGTCTTGTAACTTGACGCCAGGTAATTACGATGCATCATTCTGTCATGTAACATCTCCAAAACCATCACCTAAATTTTCACATTTCTTCCTATGCAGTTATTCATCTATGTGTTTTACTAGCTTCACAAATATTAAAACTTTAAAATTTTTTTATTTATCTTCTTTTGTTTAAAAAGATTTTTTTTATTTTCATCATGTGGGCTCTCACGACTCGCCATTACGAAGTCGTTGGTATCCTTAGGCGTAAAAGCAATTTCCCTGAAACCCCATTAACCCCTTGAAGATGAACGGTGAAGGTAGTGCAGCAAGCACCTCCGGTTTAGAGGAGGAAGAAGAAGATGAAGAGGACGAAGAACTCGCACTTGTCGTTCACATCCACACGTTCTATCTACTTTATATATATTCTGGCACAGCATCAGAAAAGAGCTTCTTCCCTCTTTATTCCTTGTCTTTTAGTCCTTCCTTGTCTGCTTATATCTCTTCTATTCGCCTCTCGTTTTCAACGCGTGGATCTTTACGAAGAGGCGAGCGGGGTCACAGCAAGCCGGCCGCTTATGTAAACCATATACAAGTACCGTCGTTTATCTAATAATATTATGGTGCAATGTGCCCGAGTCCCATGTAAGAAGAGCCCGTACATTTACAGCGAGGGTGTGTGCTTCAGATAACATCTTCTAGAGAACTTTGTAGCTTTCCTTTCTATTATTTTATGGCCAAAAAATCCTTTACTTGCTTTTTATTCAATTAGACGTTAATGATTGAAAGCAGCTTACAACATGAGGATTTGAATAAACATGCTTAAGAACATGAAAGAATATTTTTCTTCTCTGTTGATCTTTACATTCACATCCATCTATTATTTTTAATAACCAAGTTTCTTATTTTAAGTATTGATAATTAATTTTTTTAATAAAAAAAAATCCTCAAAATATTTGGTACATTTGAATTAAAAGGAATAATAATTTATTTTTAAAATAAATTAACCGTTAAATTATTTAATAATGATTTAACTTTATAAAGTCAATAGTGTCGATGTTGTAAAATAAAAATGAATTGATATTATAAGACATTACGATAGTAATCGCATGAATAATTTTGAAGTTCAATTTTCCAAGAATGGAGAATCAATTCTCCATGATTTCATATAACTATCTAAGACTAAGATGTGTCTCCCTCTCTTGAATGTCGACACATCGACAATCGCTTTTTCTTACTCGATCACTAGCACTTAGGCTTCAGCGAGACATCGAAGGAGCGACCCATCCTACATTGGACGGTTGGTTTCACCGTATCGAGGCTAAAATATCGCACTGATCGTCGTAATCGACTTCAATAAAGCGAAGCGCATCCCACAGCTAATGGAACTTAAAACCCATAGGTCACACACGCGTGCAAACTCTTTTACGGCACAATATATCTACTTTTTACTCTCTAAATGAAGAAACTTTCATTAACAAATACGACCAGTATAGTAAAAAATATAAGTACGTCGATTAATCTTAACTTCTTCCTTATCAGTGTTTCAAGTCAACAAGTGCATCGACAATTTCTAGCGGAAACTAAGCTAAATACTTTTACTTTTGCATTTTAATGGTCTTATTTTTTTAATGATCACTTGTCAGTTGATGAGAAAAAGTTACATAAATTTCATTATTTTTTATCAATCATTTTTTCAATTGTCTATCTTTCTGCTGTTGGTAGAAAACTCAGTCATGACACAAATGTCATTAGAAAGCTTTATTAAATTTTTTTTTATAAGCATTAAAATACACTCTGATGAATTAGATTCATCATTTTGCTATCAATTGCCCATAGCCTATAGTTTTTCAGAACTGTTGGATAATCTTTAAAGCATCAACAAGCTTGAGGTATTTTGATTTTTATTGTGCTGTTTTTTAAAAAATACCTAGAAGAAAAAGAAAAGAAAAATCAATTGCCAGAAAACAGTTATCCATAAGTAGTTTCACTTATACCTTGGCACCTTCCTGAAGTCTTGCAGCTTATCCAGTCGTCCGTGATCAATTGGAAATCAAGTTCAGAGCAAGCCATTTCGATAGGTAGACATTTTTCAGTAGAGAGCTATGATCGATATTCAACTGGGATGAGTCTCAGTTAGAATAGATGGGCATCCGGAAGTCACGGGATCGAGGTTAACTGACATTGAACTGTTCGATGTTGTTCCGATAGCTACAACAGTATCAGAAGAAGAAGCTCTTACAAGACATCACCAAGTATGAAGACATGAACGTGGAAATATAAAAAAAATTTAAATGCAAATTTCAAGATGCACCGACCATGCTCTCGTGGATGTCGACCTCCATGCTCGCGACGACGTCCGTTGGGGCGCGTTCGTGACTTCAGTATCCTCGATGAATGCATCATTGCCATACCTCCCCGACTTTCTTGGTCTCCTTCATTTAGATGCCGCTCGGTACCTCGTTCTCTTCATCGAACAAACGCTCTCTGTACGTTCGTTCACGTTTTACGAGCCAGATACCTTTGCCTCCTGATGCTCTTTGGTATACCTTCCGTGCGTGTTTCCTCTCTCGCCTCGTTGTTGGAACGTTCTGTGAATAGAAAACGTATTTAAATAAAAAAAATTCATTTGAAACCGAAGAACGGAAGTGAAGGGTAGGACGAATAGAACAAGAAAGAATTTGTCTTTTATTTTTATCGAAAATTCAAATTCTTTCGGAGAATCAACTGCATTAACATGACTTTGAAGCAGCTAATAATAAATTGGCTGAATAAAATTGAAGAAATAATTATGGACAAGGGAAAGTGGATGTTGAATAACAACTCCAGTTTGTCCAAATAGTCTTTTTCTTTAAACAATAAATTTACATTATCAAAAAATATAACGTAACCATTACATAAATATTTAATTCAACTATTTTTGGTATTCAAAAATCCTCACAAACTGAATGGCTCTCTCGGTTGATTCATAATTTAAAAAAAAAAGTCAAAGTTAAAAATAAAAATAAGCAATTGCCAGTGAAAGTTAATCAGCCCGGAAATAGCAATGGGAAATGATCCATTAGTGTATATAAGAAATGTAAAAGCAAATCGATATCGATTGGCCTTAATTTCGTGTCGCGTCATGAAACAGCATCTCGATCAGTAGCCGATAGTAACACAGATCAGTCAGTGTTGCACCTGTAGTCAATACAGATTTCCAATGTTCTCTTAAGCACACAATTTCTGTCCTTGTCAGATGCTAAGCATGATCTTCTTCTTGCGCAGGAGCGAGGACGAATCGTGATCTGGTGTGCAAACGATGGTGAACCTTTTGCTTTCTAATCATACTCAAGGTTAACCCCGTTGAACCTGCTAAGTCCATTGGTGGAGGTTACTCGGACTTCGTCGTCTTCTTCTTTCTTTGTTGATGTAGTTTTCTTGATCTTTTGCTGGGGCAGATGACCTTAACTGGAGAAATAAGATGTCCGCGGTGTCTCTGGCCCGATCTTGAACCGTTACTGATCGGAACGCCTTGTCTTGCTCCATTGTTCTTTAGCCTGGTGCTTTATTTTGTGATAGAATTTACATGAAATTGTTGCTTAACTGTAGGAGAGTCGTGTTACTGGTTTTATCATGTTCATTGCTAATCAAGAAGACTTTGGAATTTGATTGTATCAATGCTCAAAGTGATGTCAATATTTATTTGTTAACATCTAATAATACTCCATTAAGATAAAATAAAATTGACCAACTGCTATCAACATAAGCAGTTTCAACAAGTTGAGTTACTTTGGAAATAAAACCTTTAAATAAAAGCATGATAGTTAAAGTGATCTTAAGAATAAAAAAAAAAACAGAATTAATTAGGCACACGTGTCTTAATCATCCACCAGTGCAAAAATGATAACTCCTGTTGGTTGGTGAAAACAAGTACATCTAACTAAACTATTCATTAATTTATTCCAAACAGCTTAGGTTATTAATTGCCCGAGTATCGCGAACGAGTTAAATCTTCTTACGTGGGTACAAATAACGAACATGCACCGGTGAAGTTAAGAAAGACGGTTGAGGTGAACCAGAGAAATGTTTTAAGCACGAGCACACTCTGGGAGAGGCGCCCACGCTGCTCTTCTTCACTAGCAGACGCGCCGACACGCGCGCACACGCCGAGTCCTTATTTCAGCCATAAATTAATGTTCTGTCTTACAGCGATACATAATTGTGCGAAGACGTTGTTTCATATGTGCTCGTCGTCGTCCTGGTTGTCTTAGTCGTGGCTCATCCACCCAACGACTACAAGATATCTTGGCAATGACACGTAACGAGGGATCTAATGGCTTTGCAGACACCGACTCTTCCTTCCTTTCCACTTGTCCACTCTTCGCCCACTACTTCTCAACTCCAAGTTCTGGAATGTATTAGATAAATGCTTCTTAATCGTACTCACATGTATGCATTCAAATGTTTCCATGTGAGCTAATTTGTATCTTGACTCATCATTGGAAGTTTTTTTATCTTGGAACTGGATCAGAACTGTTTGTATCAATTTCTTGTCCAATAGTTTACAAACTTTTTCTTTTTACCTAAAACGAAGTCATTAAAAAGTTAATTTTTATTGTTGAATGTACTAATTTTTTATTTTTAAAAATCTTTTACCTACTTCATTGTGTTGTAATCAATTCATTGAGAGCAAAAACATTGAACTAATTCAAAACAATTTTTTTTGCAATAACTATTATCATCTCAATCATCTGTAACAATTGTTTTTTTTAGTTACAATAAAAACATTGATGAACAAAAGAAACATAATTCAGTATTGATGCATCACAGTAAAAACAGTCTCATTGAGAATAACTTGAAAAAGAAATGAACTCTTTCGCAAAGAAATTCCGTGGATTTCAATGATCATTGTTAACAAAATATTCGTAATCATTCAATTAATTTCTGTCAACATATTTGGATTTGTTTCACTGATGAGACGATCACCTTGATATGTCTGGTGTTGAAGGACTTGGTGATATGTTTACGTCAACATGTCTGTCATGTTTCGATTGATGTCTTCACACTTATGGACTTTGAAATTCATCGCGTGGCGCATGAAGACTCGGCTTTGCTTGATTTCGTAATATAACTAAAGATTATTTCTCTGATATTCCTTTGTACACCTATACACCTCTTTTTAAGTTCAATTACAAACAATTATAGCTTGTCTATTTAAGGAAAAAAGTTTTAACAATTACTTGCCAAGAACTTACAATTATCATTATTAAAGTTATATTATGATTGAGAATGAAAGAATTCTGTAAAATTATTTTTTAATTAAAAAACAATTTAATAGGAATGTATTTATTACACTGAAGGAGAGAAACCAATAATATATCAATTAAAAAAAATATTACTCAGTATTTTTTTCCCATTAATTTTTTTCTTGCCTCAAATTGAGCTGAATTATAACCAATCATTGTTGAGTTCAATGAGAGGAAGTAAACATCTAAAATTTTATAAAAAAATTTTTTTGTCCATTAAAGAATCCATTAATTTATTGTTTAGCTTTGACAAAATTTATTCATTGTACATTCATCAATTTTATGGGGTTTTTTTTTAATTGATATGGAAGATAACTGTGAAATGAACATCATCATAATCTAGAGATTACAAAAAAAAGATTAAACAGCAGCAGTGAATCGAGATTAAATTATCTTCTTGGATAAATAGAATTGCTTTACATTCTGGCATGAAAATGAACACGAGTTGAAATGTTTGCATTTAGTATGGAAGACGTATCAGCCCTTCTACGTAATCTTAATTTATGTTTAGTTGATAAATCTTGGATCTTGAAACATATTGCAACATGTTTGAAGACTCTCAGCATATTACTTTCGCGACTAAGTTGATGATAAGTCATTAATGTCATAGATTCGAGCGTTAAAAAAACATCAGAAAGATGAGAGCGAGGCCAAGGGAATCTTGATAGCTTGATAAATACATGAACAACTAAACAGAAAGACTATGATCAGTAATGGGACTCACGTTCCCACATTTACATTCGACCTATTGTCTCACCGTCTCCCAGAGCTCCTTTTCTTCACTTGAGCTGTTGAGAGAAGGACTTTGCTCTTGAACTCAACTTCGATTCGCTTTCAATGCTATTTTTACCTGCGTCACTTTTACTACTTACTAAGTAAACATCTAGTGGTCTTAAAGGCTGACTTGAATTTGTCGATTTGTTCAAATTAATTTTTGATGATCTTTAAACATGATGTAGTTATGAAAACATCTTCACAAAATACATCTTATAATAAAAGAAAACAAACGACTCATCCTTTTATTTATTCACAAACAGTTGATTTATTAACAATTGGTAAACTCCATTTGTGATAAATAAAACCATAACAATATATAAATTTCCATCTAATGTGACGTCTCAGTCATTTTTATGAACTTATATTGATAAAAATTCCATTTTACATCAGTTAATGTCAATAATAAAATGTGCCTTCTGCTCAGTAGGTCGATTATCGAGTATCAAAAGATAAATTAGACAACAAATATCAATAATTTTTTGTTCAAATTAAGCTGGAGAACATTTCAAGTGCTTCAGTGAACGTCATCAGTAAGTTACGCTGATGTTAGCAACGAGAATGAGGCATCTTGTTATATGCACTCTTCTTGTTTATCTTTCGCATCCCATGGAGCCTGTAGTGCGAGAGACATTACAAGGCACCACGACCTGTCAGTCACGTAGCACACGGTGACACGGAATTTGATTTTATCGTTTACAATTTTTTTCATATACGCATATGTCGCCTACTTGTACATTCATTTCCTTTTCGCCATGCTCCACTAGACAATAAATCACAACTCTCTTTTTCGTCAAGTAGCTGACTTTTTTCTGTTAAATTACCATTTCTTAAAACTTTTTTTTTATGAAAGAAAGACTCTTCACTTCCTGTTAAGCATAAAAAATTAGCATCTAGAATTTTGACAGAGGTTGCAAAAATAATGGAGATAAAATTTTTTAGCTGATGAATTAATTTAAAAATAAAGGTAAAACTCTATTAATTTGAATGAAAAGAGTGAATAGATAATCTAATATTTTGTTGTTGTAAAAAAAGTTACCTTCATTACCACATTAATATAGAATTATCTACATTAATCTATACATCTTGAGACGTTCATAAATACATTGAAAAAGGATGGAAAAAAAAATTGACCGGTTAATCGCTTAGCTAGAGGGCGTGTATTCTTCGCTTTCAATACTGATCGCGCCCTCGATTCAGAAAAACGTATCGGAGATGATGTAGAAAGAGAGATAGATAAGGATATGGTCCCTGTAATCAAGCCTCATATCTCGACTCTTCGAATATTACCAAAAAATTAAGAGCAAGGATGTTATCTTCATCTTCTTCCGCTTCTCTTCCTTCTTCATCTTATTTCTTTTCTTCTTTTTCATCATCTTTGAGTTTCGTGTCCTCAGGCAAGATAATCAGGTAGCACATAGCAACTGTGCTTACGCAATAAATCCTCTTTCTAATCCCTTTCTATGCCTCATCATCGATAAGAAGAGACCTCGGCCATTCAAAAAGTCATGACACACCTTGGGTTTGCTCTAATGCTGGTGATTCGACTTTACCAACACGCACGATCCAACGAGTCTGAAGGACAAGGCCATCCCCCATCAAAATTCTCAACGTGATCAGCATCGTTTTATTTAATTAAAACGATACAATGGCCTCTAGTGTTCTTGATAACTCTCAGTATAGTCATCAAGATCATTGATCGTTATAAATAAATCTATCTACAAAATACCAAAGCTTGAAATTTTCTTAATTTATTTTATGGCCTTGTCAACATATTTACAAATCATTATTGTCAATGATTATAAATTATCAAGATAAAAATATTCCTTTATTTAATGCCAACAATTATTTAATTCCTTTAATTCAAGCTTGGTACCAACTCTTCTATCAGCATAGAATCATCTAGAAACTTTTTTTCAATCCAAGTTTTTGGAGTAAAGTTTTTTTAATACTTTGAAAGATTATTACTTTTTGTTGAAATATATTCTCACTTCAATTTTCATACCACTCCTTTACCTCATAAGAAGTTAAAAGACAATGGAAAAAAAATATTTGAATAATGATGTGAAGAAAACCAACTCCTTTTCCAAGCCAACTATTTGCCTGTCGTTAAGACTTACTTTGCTTTACATCATTCTTTGCCAGTACTCTTAGACAGATGCAAATTGTTTCATTCTATATTTCATCGTACATTGAAGCACAAATCATCTTCATCTTGACTCTTCATTATTATTATTCGTTTTTATAACGTTTTCTTCTCCATTTATTTTAGTTTTTTTACACCTTGTGTTTTTTTATCTTCTTTTTTATTGAACACACTCTGCGAACGAGGCCTCTCGCCTTCGTTCAAAGTGGCGTGTGTCACCTCCAACATCACCTTCTTCCTCTCTTCTATACTTGTCTGATCTCTCGCCTTCTTCATCATTATCCCTCGGCGATGATTACGATTATTATTCGATCGTCCAATAATCATGTCCCGTACGACGTAATGGTTATTCGTAGGACGATTGCGATCGACGATCACGTCCGCACGCGTTCGAGACTTCTCTTTGTCCATCGTAACCGGAAATACCAGAGTTCGTCAGGGTTTCAACTGAAAAAATTCCAAATTGAACACAATTGAAAAATAGAAGAAGCAAAAATTCTTAAAAATAGGACATAGAATCAATGAACAATAATCTAAATCATCTGTTATTGTTGGTTATTTTTTCTTTTTTGTAAATAAAGATAAACCTTTAATTTTATAATATTTGCTGGAAGTTAAGTGTCAAATTATTTTTCACACTATAATTTAATTCAACTCAGAAATTGCTGAAAAATTGATGGGTATTTGTTCAACATTACCACACACAATTTTCATGATATTCATCTCATTCAATGCTATCATGTTTATCATCAATAAAAAATGTATTCAAAATTTTTACCTTAAGTTTTGATGAATATGATTATGGGAACTGATGATTTCTCTTAAACAAATAAAACAAAACGCTGAAAATTTTAATACCAACTCATATCAGTAACTCAGATCAATCATTTTATTCAACTAAAATCAACTATTCTCTAGCTAAGACCAAGTATTCCAATGCCATGATCAATAAGTATTTTTAAGTTAATATTAATATTTATTAATCAATAAATTATTTAACATCATGCTTATCAAGATCATGATTAGCTTACCCTTTTTACTTAGAAAATAAAAAGTGAATAATAAAAAAAAATAACCAACTTTTAACTGAACTAAATTAAGCTGTAAAAACAAGATTTTTTAAAATTAAAAAAAAATACATAAATACCTGAAAGTATTGTGAGCATCGCTTGGTTGATTCTCTGCAAGTGTATCCACTATTCCCAGTGTCTGACACGCACAGTTCATTTCTACTCCTCATCAGTCTACGTATTTCCTCACTATTTTTCCACAATGGACCTCAGAGTAAAGTAAAAGAAGAAAAAAATGAAAACCAGCATAAAATAACGGACAATCATAGACGTGAGAATGGAATAGCATTGCATCAAGCTAGGGACGCATCCGTGGGTAATTCGTGCGACGATAATAAAGCGATGTCGTCATTGCCGTTCACGATAGTCGCTCGGATCGACTGCATATACGGGCAGGAGCATGTAACGGTCACTAGATGCGGCTTAAGCATACTCTGGACCATTCTAATATCAAGGACTCACACAAGCGACGATGGATGAGCAGCTTGAGCTATGAGTAGACTCTATGAGAGGTGAAGAGAGTGGATGGGGAGGAAAGGGAGCGACTCAGCATGACCTATGACCTAGCACGATGAAACCTCTGCGGATATCTGACTCATGACGCGTCGTCCTGTCTCCTGTCAACAGGTTGACACGATACGAGATTCTTCGTAGTGAAATACATCGCGTTCTATCATTTTGTATCAGTGTTTTATTTTATTTGTTCGTCAGATCATCATTTAACTGCTTAATCATTCAGTACATTCAATAAAGCTTTCGATTTTATGCTAATGGTCTGAGCAGTAAAAATTATGACTACAATTATTACCTTTTTTTTTTAAATCAAATAATGTTGGATTTCATTCCATAAATTTTTGTATATTTTAGGAGCATGAGTCTAAATAGCATCATGTTTTCTAATAAATGATATTTTGAATATAATAAAGAAATTGATAAATAAACAGTTGGGAAGATAAATAATAAATAATTTTAGAAACTGGAAAAAATAACTAAAATATTCAGAGATCTTGAGTTGAATGGCTACACAATCTACATAATTTTATTTACGAAGTTGATTATTTAAGTTTACTCTATGATCTAGTCTACTGTTCACCATAATCATGAGTATTAAAAACATTTTTATGATGAGTTTAAAAAAATAATCATGTTACTAAATATTTTCTAAACAGTCATAATTGAATCCAGTTAGAATTCCTTGACTGTTGATGCTGATCATCATCTGATAACATCAAGACCTATTCAATAATGCTCTCTATAAAAATGACTTAACACTCGATTTCATCAAGATAACAAACTACAAGAGATTTGTGAGCTCAAGGTCACATAATGGTTAGTGAAGAAATAGTTCACCAGCAAAACTGGTAGATGTAAGCCTAATGATAGACCCAAGAACCTGGTGTTTCATTGACACTCATGATTAATTACAGGAAATGCTACGAATTGGATTTTAAAAAGGTGTGCTAAAGCAAACGGCAAAAGGCATTCACAAGAACTAAACTAGAGTTAAGTATATACGTTAGAAAACCAACGATTTCGAGGCGCGGGTGATTACGCAAGGGACCGGAGGCAGTTGCTACAGCAGAGGGGACATTCAGAGACCCAGTTCTCATCTATTAATGCGCAATTACTACCTAGAACAATGTGATTACCGCGTTTAAGTCATTACGCGACTTCTCAAATGCTTCCTCTTCAAAATTTACTTGAGCTCGTTTAATACTTCCCTTTCGAACAAAATTATCTTGATAGGTCCTTTATTAGGATGTCATAAATTAAGTCATGTAATTATCAACTTTTCATTATTTTTTGAGTCACCTTGTAATCTCTTATTTTAACAATATCTTGGAACGAATTAGTTTTTATCTATGATTCACGGTGGTCGATAATAACTAAAGCGACATGTAAACAATTAAATTGTTATTGAAACATGTAAATTTTACGTCATAGAATTATCAAAGAGCTTGTACTGATAATAAAATAATTTATATATATAAACTACTGAAGGACGCATGTAGGTATTATTGTATATCATATAGAGCTGGTGGACGTAAATATAACTTGGTCAAAGAAGACAAAATGGGATTTGTCAAACAAGTGACTTTGAAGCTTTTAGTAGTTGCCATCTTGGTCATTGCTGCTGCAAGTGAGTCAATTAAATTATTATTCACTTTGTTAAAATTTATAAATAAATTATTTGTTATAAAATAATTTTTTTTGCACATTAAAAATTAGAAATGTTTGTATCAATTCTTTAAAATTAATTTTTTAAATATTTTTGAGCAACAATTTTGAGACAACTAATAAAAAATATTTATAATTTTTTTTTGCTAAAATATTTCAGAATGCTAAATATTAATATTTGCGTGCACAGTAGAAATAATTTAGCTTTGTGATGACACTTGATTATATGCTTATTTAAAAGACATGTCATTCATTATACTTTATCAATAATTACTATAATTTTTTTTTTCCAGTGCCGTTAAAGAAACGTGAAAGCACTAGCATGATGTGAGCTTCAGCATAAACTCTTTAGCCAATGTAAAATAATAAGAGAAAAATGTTTGATCACTTGAATTTTTGATCCAATAAATAATTTGATTAATTAACTAAATTAATTAGTTGTCAGTGTTATTATTTACTTTTATCTTTTTACCAAGCCGGTGAGATGTAATTTTATCAAGGTATGTTTATCATTTCTACAAAACGGCTTGCTTCCTATTTTTTATCAGAATAATATTACCCTTTGGTTTCTTGGATTTCCACGAATGAAAGAAAGAGATTGTGTAGGCGACGTTTCTAGGGGAGAGACACAAAGAAGTATTACGAGTCTCGCGTTTGTCAATGCCGAGCAATTAAGGCTTTCAAGTCTCTCGAAGTAAAGCCACTTTGTCCTGGTAAAGTCAAGAACTGAGAAACCGAAGAGCAAAGAGGAGAGTCCGCTTGATTTATATTTCCTTTTCGTTATACACGCGAGTAAAAAACTATCAGAATTCAGCTCACGATAGAGATAGTGAACAATTAAAAATCATTTAATCATTCAATGATTGTTTATTTTTATCAGAGAATTTCTCTAATTTAAAAATTTTATTTGCCATAAAAGTATGCCTTTTTTTTGATCGGTAAACATTGTATAAATATTCTTGATTTAATTCCCACCAAATGAAAATTTTTCTACATGTCGGATTGCGAGAAGCCACACGATCTACGATACGATCAATAGCACACCCCCTCGCGTGCCTTTTGCACTCGTAGATGCCGCCGCGGATCTCAATCTTTTCTTCCTCAACTCTTTAAATCTTTATTTTTTATTTTTCCAGTTATTCAATCGCTTCTCTGCTAAAAAAGTTAATTTGTATTTTTTTAACAATCTCCATCGCTTATCATTCTGAATCCAGACAATAGACTACTCATCAGGAAGTAATTAATTCTATCTTCTTTTCATTAATCACTGAAGTTCAGTAAAAAACATTACTTGGTTTTTTTTCCTTTAACCTGTAAGTTATCAACAGCTGAAAATTTTTTTTTCTTTTAATTAGACTAATTCAAAGCTTTATAAATTAACAACGAAAATTTGAACATACAGACAGGCGAAGACATTGTTATGTATTTTATGTTCACATTGACAGTCGACGAATTTGAGTCTAGCATTTTATGTTTGGTTTGTTTATTTTCAATTTCTGAACGAGACTTTAGCGGACTGGACATTTTCCTGTCATTAAAATTTTTTTATTGATTACAATATACCCCTGAGTCTAAGAGCTTCAATGATTAATGCCGAAAAGACTTAAAAATATTTAAAAAAATCAAATCCATCCCATGAATTTATTTAAAATAAGTTTAGCCTGAAGTAGATAATGTCGTTAGTATCAGCTATTGATCAGACATCGGCTCGTCTTTATTATCTCACCCCTTCGACGCCTGAAGGTCTGTTGGTTCTCTTCGAATGTGTAAATGCGAACAATCTCCCGGCAACCATAAGACTCTCGGTATAAGCAAGAACCGCGTAGATTATGGAGACCGAGAATGAGACAACGAGGGCCTGGGTATATGGAGAGGTATCGAACAGTAGCAATCGATCTGATACGATCAAATCATGGGCGACGATCGGCGCGTCCGATTCGTTGCTCTCGATCCGTTCTATAGCCATTCTCATGATCTCTCCAGGGACCTGTGAAGATAAACGCGGGCGTCTTACTTACTTCGACGACTGAGTTCTCAGGGTTGGGTGATGCTTATCAGCGACTCGAATTTATCGGGCGTTCCGTTGAAAGGGAATAGCGATCTAACGATTTTATTTGACTTCGTGGAATTTTCAGTTCATTCTTTTTCCATTCTTCCATTGATTTATACTCATGTGAATTTGTTACAATGCTTGGAATATTTATTTAGTAATTATTATACAATAGTTCATTCAATATTTATAATACAAAAAATATCTCTACTTGTTTTTAATTAATTCCTTTTAAAAAATTTCTAGTTATTGAAAATAAATTTTATTCATCATTTAGATACATTGTTCGTGATAAATATCATTTAATTATTGGTAATAGCCGACAAGGAATTTTTTTCCTTTGTATAAAGTAAATAAATGAGCTTTGTAAAATTGCCGGCATCGATAGAATAATTTTTCCTGGCTATTTAATTTATTTAAAACAAATGTCAATATTATGTTTTATTTTATCGTTATATAATGAATTAAAAAGAACAGATGAATAATTATTTTTAATTCAAAAAGAAAAAAATAAAGAAATAATTGAATATTGTTGTAGGTGTGAAGAATCATGAGGGAATTTATCCTGGGTTACACAAGTTCATTTCTAAATTGATCCTCATGCTTGAAGACAATTCCGATCCTGACAACATGCATATATAGTAATCGACGATTTCCATTAGCCGATGACTCACTCCTTCTTTACAATCACCTGTTCAATAAACTCTTCAACTCAGCGCGTATTTTTCATGCCTACACCGATGTAAACACCTCCAAGCAAAAGTCCAATCTCTTAGTCTTGGTCAACACAATGATAAATAAAAAAAATGCCAGGTTGAAGTAAACAGAAATCGATCAGCAATGCGTCACGTTCTTTCTCGTCGATTGTGGGACGTTCGCGTGACGCTAATGGCTCGTTTAGAGTCACACAACAATCGCAAGCGTCTCTCTCTCCGGGAAAACGGAACGAAATGAGTCGTGTGAACCAATCCCTTCCCCTCTCTCCCACCCCCTGATTAAGCAAAAGTCTCCATAGTGACATTTAGCCGGTTATATCTGTCTAGTTCCAGGCCATCGGGTACGCGCCGATCGCCATCAAGCCTCTCGGCCGTCCATCTCTTTACCCTCTTTACCCTCCGCCACTCTTCCGAATGCTGCGACGATGCTCTGCAGGAGCGGCTTAATGTCACGTGAATTTTATTGCTATGCTGTGGCATCGTTTTTGCATTCGCTGCTACTTTGCGTCGTAGTTGGATTTTTCACTTGTTTTCCTTATTTCCGGGAAGCTCTGTGAACTTTCTTCAAGCTATTTTTTTCAATGAGAGGAATAATTATTAAACGTTTATTCTAAATTTTTATAAACAAAATAAAATTTTAGTACTAAAAAATTTTATCATTTAATAATCATCTTAAAATTCGATTCTCCTTCAACGATACCTAAAATTGAATGAATAAGCTTATTAAAAATAAACTTCAAAATGAAAAATAACCGAAGCATATTTTTCATTTATCACCATAAATAATATAAATGAAATAGGAAGTATATAATATATGATTTCTCTATCGAAATCAATATTTCATAGACTGTGCTATTTTTTTTACGATAAATATCGTTTATGATATGATTGTGAGGTGAAAAGTAAAGTATAGAATTGTTCTAGCGATAAATCACATATGAGAAGACCAAAGATACATGTGGGCGGACTAGTTTGACAAGCGGAGTCAATCGACAAACGATTTGCATCGTCGTATGAGTAGTGTGGAGCCAAGAGTGTATGAGAAACTCGAGCGGTGCGAGTGTAATAGCTGGCTAAATTTATTCCAAGTGTATTGAGTATCGAGTTAGCAATGACATCCAACCGATTTACTGATTCGATTTATTGTCAAGTCATTTTTCTTCTGAATTATCCACCCAAGTCTTACACATCCATTGACAATAAGAGAAATATATATTTTTTTAACAAGATCATAAATTAATTTTATTCAAAGGCAAATAAATTCGTACGGGTATGAAATATGTTTATTTTACGCTACATTGTACTACACATTGTCATTATTCCAAGTAAAAAATTGATATTTCGCAAGTAAAATATCAATTGGAAAATTCCTTACAACTGATGTTTTATATTTTTTTTAGCTGATTTTTCATTTTTACGGAATTCATCCCCAACCAGTAGTGGGTGTAGAATCGAGAAGACACGCGGTGTGCGCGATTAGCACTTCCCGATACGGCTATCTCAGTTACAAGCACCTTAACACCTCTTTAAGGAACACGCCGACATAGCTCGTGAGTCGATTTCAAAGTGCAGATTGTCTCCAGCATGCTTCATTGAACCCCAATGAATAGTTCACGATGAAAAAACCACAGGTGTTTAAGAGTCTAGAGAAAAAAAATCGACCAATCGTTTTGTTCTTGAGCAAAAGACAAAAATTATTCAACTCACCGCGCACGCCCTTGTGTGTTGGCGTCGCTTAATTAACGATCGGAGAGCATGAGTTTAACGCCTTCCCTCTTCTAACTTGTAGATCGCGCCATGTGATACCGTTGGAACTTTACCTCAGATTCTCTTCTTCTTCTTCTTCCTTCTATCCTTCTTATTTATTCCTCTAAATTCTTTTCTTTTGATAGAAAAAATCTCTACTAATTCAATATTTTTTTTGGAGCTATAAATACTTTCGCTGTTTTAATTATTATTTGAATGCGAACATGTTTTGTGTATTTCTTATCATCAATACTTTCCAATTATTGAGCATATTTTTTTATAAATAGTAAATTTTATGTATTATGAGTTGATATATTTTATAACAAATATATTTTTATTGTGCTCTACTATTTTGAATAAGTATTGGTTTATTCTAATGTTTTAATGAATTTTTTTCAGAGTACATAAAATACAATAGTAAAAATTGAAACTCATTTAATTGCTTTCCTGATGCTGATCTTTCTTCCCTTGTTGGCGCGATCACAGTGATCTTCGCTCCTGGGATAACGGCGTCACATCGATAAATTTTGGAATCTCTCTCTTTTACACCACGAAGTCCGCCTAATTAAGCGGCTTCGCCCCGTAATTACGGCCAATTAACGTCATACTCGAGCGCACGCTGATCTTACATTTAAGCCTTTTATTCCTTTCTCTCTCTCTCTCTTTCTCTGAGTCACAATAAAGAGCCGAAAGGGGACGTTGAGTTTGCGCTAACCCTCTTGCGATCAATTTTTATTCATCAAAATGCTCCATAAGTCACGAGCGAGAGATCCTTTAAGATCAATTGCTAATCTTATATTTTTTTTTATTCATCCAGAGTTCAGTTCATACATTTAATTATGAGGTAACAGACGGCATTACTAATTTATATTTATTTACTCCCGACCTTTTACTCCCGTTATGGAAATAAATGGTCTC